AAGACATTTTCACGCAGAATTTTGACATCAGATTTTTATTGGAAATTGAAGAAAGTTAGTTTTGTGATATTTTATTTCCAATCAGCATTTCGAGTTTATATAAAGTAGTCTGATGTACAGATCTATTGTTAAGCTGGTCTGAGATGATAAATTATGTGACAAATTGGCCACACGTTATTTTAAATAGTTATCAGTAACACCCATTATTGGGTAGAATAAGGACTAGTGACTATTTAGCATTAAGCTAGTCTAGGTTAGTAAAATATTGAAATGTCTCCTGGCGAAGAGGTTTATTTCCGCGCCGGGGGGAAAGAGATTGTGGATGGTTGAAGGGGGAGAGATCTGAGGGAGAGAATATGGATAGAGTACTCATATAGTGAATAATGGGATTCCTGGATGATGTGGAGATTGGAAAGGATCTCTCGGGAAAAGCGCTAGTTAATTTAGGGAATGGGGAATGCACTAGGAAGCGCGGAAAAGGTTGTATGAGCTCTCTCTCTCTGTCTGTCTTTGCCCCGTTTAATCTATCTCGTTCACTTTTGAGAAGTCCTCGCCAGGTTCGAGAGCTTATTGAGAATATATGTGCAAATTTTCAGTTTGATTAAAATGATTTTATAAATGATACTATTTTTCGATTATTTGAAAAGAAGATCACAGATTACAGAATTATTATTTCTTATAAATTCAATAGTCAACTTCCGGTCATCACGAAGGTTTAAAAATTAGCACACCTGTATGTAACGATGTTGAAACTATATTAGCATTGCAAAAAGTTGCAATAGTTGATAGAATTATCACTTTTTTTTACCTAATTTTCCATACTTGAAATATTTAAAAAATTTTTAAAGATTTTTTATACTTGAGTCAAAAAGCATTTTCGACTCAAAACCAAGAATGTCCATAGCTGCTGACTATTTATATAGAATAATACCAGTAGTAAAATTTTGTATGTTTACAGTAGGATTCAATGGGCCCGTTTCTATCTTTTGCATTTCCATTAAAGGAGCATGCGATCTCACTAGCACTTATATTTTGTAGTGTATTCCGCAGGTGTATAAAAAAATAGTGAGTGTAAGTGAAACGAAAGGAACTGCCGTTCTCTCTGCACTCACACTTCTTTATGCACCGTGCATGTGCAGAAGAATGTAATGAGTGCGAGTGAAAAGAAGAAATATGTCGTTCTCTCTCAGCGGCAGTAACGTAAGAAATAAAAAGTCCTCCAATTCCTTTTTTTTATCTATCTCACGTGGATTAAAATGAAAATTCAAGTAAGAGAACATACTGAATCGTAAATCTTATGCTAAATCAAATGAGAGACAGAAAAAAAAAATTTAATTCGATTAAATATAAAAAAAATTAATTTGAAATTTTCAAATTAATATTAATTAATGAAAAGATCATAAACAAAAAAAAACCTTTGAAAATATTGTCAGAAAAATAAAGGAGCTCTCTGATGTGTTTTTTTTTTAAGAAAAAATTTTTTAAATATGAAATAATTTTTTAAAAAATTCTACGTTTCACGGTCCTTTTAATGGCATATAAATAATAAACGGTAAGAGATACGTAAATAATACGTAAAAAATGTAAGAATACATTTTTGTAAAGAATTTAATTTTCTACAACTTTTACTTGAAACTTTTCTTCATATTTTCAGCCGTTCTCAAGATATTAGGGAAAAAGTAATTTTTGCACTCTTTCGCATTTTTTTTGCAAGAGTTCCCTTGCATTTGGGATCCTAATTTTTTGCAGTAATATTCCTACGTCCCTTACGCACATTTTTGCGTTGGTTTTACTCTTTTACCGCGAAATGGTTATTTCAGCCATTCATTCATTAGACTAGTATTCCTTAGCCGTCAGTTAAAACCTGCAAATACACATGCAAAAGGGGCAAGAAGATGTTATCCCTTGGAAAGTGTCTTTCATGATAGGCAATATGAACGATCTGTTTAATACACCTGTACGCCGGATTCTACCAATCCGCGACCTCAAGCGGACCTGCTTTTCGCATGAATTACAGAGTATATAACCTAACAGTCTAATTGAGATTATAACAATAAATATGAATAATTTAAGTAGATTATAATAAACGTACAATCTCCGGAATTCTAGCCGGGCACGAGAGGAACAAGAAAGTAACAGTTGCTAGAAGGGCCAAGTGATATCGATAGTAATTATATTCGTATATTGCAAATAATTATGGCGCAGCTCGCCCTATGCCCTCACAGAAGGTACAAAAATGATGTACGAGCTCACCGTGGTGATATCAAACGAGGAATCCTGGGATACCGCAGCGATTTCTGACGTCGGCTGCTGTTGCCCTTGGACGACCTTCAACTGCCTTTTTCCAGTTCTCTGCGGCTGCACAAATGACCATCTCTTAAACACCAATTAGGAAGCTTATCGGGTGATTTCTAAAGTAAATAAACCTTATTCTGATACCAAGTAGCATAATTCTCTTTATCTACTTTACGTTTTAACAAGAGTGTTCGAAAAGAATTGTCTACAACAATACCCTCCTCATTATCAATGTCAGAGATGAGATCAGAAGGTTTCCCCTGAGCATTTCTTGGAGAAGTCGTTTGAGAAGAGTTCTTCGAGGAATTATCTGATGGTATTGCTTTGGAAGAGTCTTGTGAACAGGAAGTGGAGTTCTTATTCTTGGCCTCTGACCTTGTAGTGATCTGAGCAACTATACCATTTCTCGCCCTTGCTATTTGAAGGGGGAGTGTAATAGAGGTTAGATTGGAGGAATATTCAGGCATGTCTTCATACGCCCTAGGAGGATTGAGAGGGTCTGGATGAAGATTTCCCTCGAAAACACGAGACAAAGCATCTGGCGCCTTATTGCGAGTGCCACGACAATGAACAAACTTAAGATCGAAAGCTGATAGCAAGACTGCCTATCGGGACAGACGACCTTTGAGATTTGACGCGGTGGTCAAGTGTATCAATGCAGAATGATCGGTATACACTGTTACGGGACTGCCCTCAATAAAATGGCGCAGTTTAGTAACCGCCCATATGACAGCCAAACACTCCTTGTCAAAGGTATGGTAATTACGTTCTGCCTTTGCTAATTGTCTCGAGATACAGCAGTTTAGATATTCTTTATCCTCTTTCTCATCGTATTGGACTACAATCGCGCCTATTCCCACATCACTTGCATCAGTGTAGAGGCGAAATGGCAATGAAGAATCTGCCGGGTATAAAGTGGGGGCATTAGCCAAAGCCTCCTTAGTTTTGAGAAACGCCCCTTGCGCCTCTTTCGTTCAGTACCATTTAGCTTTAGGACTAGTTAATTTATGAAGCGGAGCCATAGTAGTACCAATGTCCTTGAGATGACGATGATACCAGTTCACAAAGCCAATAAACCTACGCAATTGCGTTTTGTCTTTGGGAACTGGATAATCCAAGATGGGTGAAATGAGTTCTTTACTCACATGGATACCACCATTATCTACCACAAAACCTAAATATTCTATCCTGTTACAGTAAAGTTTACATTTCTCGCGATTTAATTTGAAACCAAGTTCAGTTAGAACAGTCAACAATGTTTCTAGAAGAATATCGTGATCTTCTTTTTTTTCACTGACACCAACCCAATCGTCGAGGTAGACAAAGATGTGCTGTTCGATCGACTGATGCGGATGAGTGAGACACACTCTATCCCTAATCTTTTCTCGCGTGATGTCAGCGAGGCGACAGTAAGTAGAGGGGGCACCAGTCAGCCCGAAAGGCATTCTGACCCACTCGAACTGCCCTCTTCCTTCAACGTGGAAAGCTGTGTACTTCCTATCATCAGGCTTGATCTCGATGTGATGAAAGGCGTTTGAAATATCAACAGTGGATATGAAATTAGGACGACCAATTTTTTGTAGGATTCTCAGCATATTAAGTAACGGATAACCAGACTTGAAAGTTCGAGCGTTTAAGCTGCGATAATCTATGCATAATCGCCAAGATCCTTTTTTTTTAGCTACTAAAAGTGGTTCACTAGACCAAATACTGTCAGTCCTGGTAATATAACCGAGTTCTATAAGCTGATCAACAAGCTCGTGAAGAGCCTTGATTTTTACTTCAGACAATTTCCTATGTTTTTGACGGAATGGGTTCACACCAGGAATTATATTATCTTATGACAAACCAAGGGACAGAATCCCGTGGCTGTACGACTATTCCATTCTAGTAATTGGTATGCATTTGTTTCCTTATCTCTTATTGAAATACGAAGAACATCTGGATTACGAGATTTTTTAGTGACTTTAATTGTGACTTTAGCCTCAGGTCGTGGATTCTGGTGTTCTTGAGTACTACGAGAAACGAAAAGATTTTTACTAGGATCGAACAATAATGTAACTTCTCGTTCAACGAATTTGAAGGGAATATACCCTGGCATAGTCCACTGCATCTTCTCGTAGTCCATTTTGATTTTGGCCATTTTACAAAAGTCCACGCCCAAAATCATTCTTCAGATAGACATCCGACGACGCCAAAGAAAATGAAAGAGAATTTACTTGGACTGGCGAGGCAGTGTCTTTCAACATCTGTTTTAACTCCCCAAATGGGTCATGAAATTCATCTAAATTTTTTCCACAATTTGATGTTGAATTTTGTTGCAGAGTCAGGATAAGAATCCTCTTCAATTTATTGATGATTTGGATCGATATTTACGCTTCAAGAATATAAAGAGTAATAAAAATCAAATATTAGTAATTGATAGTGTGCTTGAGGGTAGGCACAAAGCCTGGTTTGATGTGGTACGCGATAGTATAAGATCGTTTGATGAATTTAAGCGTTATTATAAAGATGAATTTTATTCAGTCCCGGTACAAGTCGAACATAAAAATAGATGGTTATCACGTAAATACAATAAGTCGACTGATGGCTCACTACAGTCATATTTCTATGATCAGTTGAAAGAAGCAAAGTATCCTAATTCTTTGTCCTCGGTTTATGAAATAAACTACTCAATTTTGTTGCAATATCCGCCGAGTATACGTATGGCGTTGTCATCAGTCAATTTGTCTGATACCAGTGCCGTAGCGCAAACATTAATGCAGCTGGATAGCACGTATCAGTATGATAGAGAAAAAGAAGTCAGTAAAAAATTGAAACTATATAATAACAATAACAATGTACAAAATCAAAGTCAGCTAAATTATCAACCTAATTCGTTTAATCACCATAATGTGAGTCATAATAATATTAATGCAATTCAAGTTGGAAATAATACCCGAGATAGATTTAGGCACAGAAATAAAAAAAATTATAGACCGTGGAATGAGCAATCATGTCATGGTCATCAGTACATTCAATCGCATCCTAATCCAGTCATTTACCATTGAATCCCAGTCCCCAATGGTGAATATCTTACAGCCAATCGAGTTGATTATCAATCGCAGTGGTCCCTTCAAGATACGCGGTTTCCTCATCCCGCTTATCCAGCTACTCAAAATGTCAACCAGGCGATCGTTAGTTCAGCTACTTGTAATTCCGCTAATAATGGTTCGCAATCTTTAACCTAAATATGGACGTGATAAAAACTGGTCCATTACCACGTCCTAGTGGCTTCGATTTTATTCAGGACCTAAGAGATGATATTGTTAGTTGTCCGGATGGACAAAGTCAAATTAATCGAAAGAAAAAATTGCTGAGAGTAAAGGTGAAAGTTAATGATAGAGAAAGTTGGGCGTTGGTTGATACGGGAAGTGAGGTCACGGCAATTTCTGAGGATTTCTATAATCAGTTAGCTCTTGATGATAGCTTATCAGTGCTACCTGTTTATAACGTAAGGGTGTCCATGGCACCTAGTAAGAAGGTCGTAACAGTTAGTCGTCAAATCTCAACTGAACTCGTGGTGGGTGATCGAGTCTTATCACACATCTTGCTTGTAGTTCCTAACCTGACTTTTGACATAATTATTGGAGATGATTTCTTTAGTCACAATAAGGTGGACATAAGTTATAGTACAAAAAGGATTATAATGGGTGGAGAAATGTTGCCAAATGATCAAGTGTCGTTCGTTCAGCAGGATGATGGGTCGGTGAGGGCTCGCGCCGGTGATCAGGTTGCTGATCTTAATCAAATCATTCTGAAGAAGCAGTCTTGTCAAGATAATTTAAACAAGAGTTCTGGTAAAAATTATAACTTCAATTTGAATAGGGGGATTAACCCTGAATTATATGTAGGTAATAATACTGATTTGTTAGTTAATAACAATATTAAACTAATATGTAATAATAATCTTGATTTAAGATGTGATAATTATATTGATTTAAAATGTAACTAGACAGGACAGGTTGCACGCTCTACGAGCGCGCTGTTGTGATATCAATGAAATTGACGTTTTATTGTAAAATATATTTTTTTTTCCAACGTGTTTAAGTTAAAATTAAATGCTTCTTTGCAATTATAAACATTTCTAACTTTATATTGCAATTATTATCGTCATCATCGTAATATGTATATGATAAATCTGACAGTGACATAAGGATAGTAATATTTTAAATGAATTATAAAATTACATTAAATACTCAAAAACATCGATTCATCGGACTAATGTCCGTCCGAATAATTTAAAAATAACAATATCATACTGAGGTATGCATAAATTTGAAATATGGCAAGATATCGTTATGAATTATAATATAGTATATGCAAACAATCGATAAAAAAAATGCATTAATAGAAATATCGATAAAATATTCGAGTATCTATTTGTATATATTTGACATTAATTTTTGAATTACTTATGTCATAGAATAGAACTTTCATAATCAAGTTCGTTAAGTTAATATTAATATACTGTAGATTCTAACATAGATTTGTAATTATTCGCTTAACAACCATTCTGAATGCCTACTAATTGATCAACTCATTATTTATTATGCCCATGGATTGGTCCACCCACTAAACACGATTGAAATTGCTTATTTTCTAGGAATATTAATAGGTAATATAGTCTAAAACAGGGTATGTAGAAATAGATTATAATGATTGATGGAAGAAAAATTTCCTTAGTTTACGTTATTGAAACATTTATGAAATATTATTTAAAATGTCAAAAAACGATAAATTATAAAAATAATTCTTTGTAAACGTAATTTTTAACAATTCTGTTTGTTTTTTGGTCATTCATGTACACTTGTAAAGTTTCCCAAGATCGAACTCTTGAAAATGCTACATATAATTGTCCATGATTAAAAACGTCTTTTGTTAAGTCTATTTCAATCATATCAAATGTTTGTCCTTGAGCCTTGTTTATGGTCATAGCAAAGGCTATTGTAAGTGGAAATTGTCTTCTTTTAAATGTAAAAGGATATGTGTTTTCACAATACAATGTTATTCTGTTGATAAATACTACTTCTCCTGATTTATCACCATTCAATATTTTACATTGTAAAAGATTATGTCCAAGTTTCAAAACCATTAATCTTGTGCCGTTACATAAACCTTCACTAATGTTGAGATTTCTGAGCAACATAACTACACAATATTTTCTCAGAATAAGTTCATAAGGTGGAAAATTGGGTGGATTTAATGTATTTAGATATTCTGGTAATATAGCATCGTCAATATTGCCATTATCACAATTTTCAGTACTATCTACACTTGTATACGTTTTTTCAGTACAATTATCTAATAATTTTACAGCTTCGGTATTAATTTTTTCTACATCCACATTTCTAGCTGCAAGTATAGCACATATTGATAATTTAGTATAACATTTATCTGTGATTATTTTTTTACACATGTTTTCAATTATTTTATCATATTTGAATATTCTACATTCAACTGGAAGATCTAAATTATCATGAGAATCATTCAAAATACCTTCACCAATATTTATTAGAAATTTAGTAAATGCAATTTCTGAAGGTAACGTTCGCATATTTTGGGTTAACGTAAATTGATGAAATTGTCGCCAAAGATAACTATGTTTAATGGATAAATTCACTAATTCACTTCTCGTTGAATTTTTTTTTACAGGTAGTAGTTGTCGAAAGTCTCCTCCTAAAATGAATATTTTTCCACCAAATGGTAGATGGTTATTCATCATGTCACGCAAAGTTCGATCTATTACTTCTAAAGCATATTTTGGCGACATTGGTGCTTCGTCCCATATAAAGACATCAATACTTTTTAAATAATTACCTTGTTTGGAATCATTTTTAATGTTAGATGATGAGTCAGAAAAAAGAGGGACAGGTAAACCAAAAGTTTTATGAACAGTTTTCCCATTTGGGAGTAATGTTGCAGCAATCCCTGTAAATGCCATAGTACAAACTTTTTTATTTTTAGATTTAAACAAATACCATAAGGTTGTATAGATGAATGTTTTCCCAGATCCACCAGGTCCATCTATATAAATACAATTTGATATACTATTATTGTTGTTGGTATCGATAATACTTAATATGTAATCAACGATTTCTTTTTGTTTTTGATTCAATTTTTGATATTGTTGAATTCCATGTTCATCGTCTTGTTCTCTACTTTCGTTATCATTTATATCTTCTGAATCTGTAATTTGTTCCATAGATGGAAAATTTGATATGTGGGATCCTTCGTTACAAAGAATAGAATTTACATGCAGATATGCTTTTTTTTGTCCTAAAATTGATTCAAAACGTATTGTAAAATCTTCTGACATTGATCCCTTGAATTGTTTCCAAAGTTCTTCAGGATGCAATGGATAACAATGTAATAATATACGCACAAATAAATATCTCAATTGACATGGCATCATCCAAATTTCTGCTTCATGAAGTGAATTTTTCCACTCATTATCGTCTTCGATCAAACCTAATGCAAGGCAAGTGTTTAAATATGTATCGTATGTATGACCATTAACTGTTCTTAAATCTTCATAACTTTTCGGTCCTTTCACTTTGGTTAATAACAATCTGAGATAAAATAATTCAACATTTGATGGCCTGATTGGATACATTCGACCAATAACTTTGAATTGTTCTTGACGTTTAACCCATTGATGAATTTCATTCTCTTTTTTAAATACGTAATGATTTGGGATATCGGTATAAATATATTGTCGAGCATTTTCATCGCGTGTATTTAATGCAAAAAAATCGATCAACATGGTTACTTTGTCTAGGACATTTCTTATTTGTGTTTCATCACAATTATCGTCTATTATCAAATTTTGTTCATTAGGTAAATGTATAGGTAATCGCATAATACTGTGACTTTTTTCTTGTAATGGTTTTGATAAAATTCTCCATACAGCTTCTACTGGTCCAACATAGCGAGTTTCAATATGATTATTGATTTCATCATATGTTATAGTGTTATCGTCATTAGTATTTGAGACATTCCCATTTATTGTTATTAAAGCTTGATCATGTCCTTTATATACATATTTATATAAATATTTTACAGATTTTATAGACGAAACAATTTCTACATTTATATGAGCATTAAATCGTTTCGAAAGTATTTTATTATATGGTACAACATGTTGATTTGTAAAAGTGCCTCCTTGTGACCGAATATAAGTGATACCTGAATCTCTGCGACGATAATAAGGATAACAATTTTCGTCCATAGTAGTGTCTTCTCGAAATTCTTTAGGGTAATGTTTGGAACATTTTCCATTTACAATACACCAACTTCCACATGGTCCATGAAGCATATTTTTCGTAATGATATCATATAGTATTGGATCATCAGTCTGATTTGGTATTTCAGCGCAAATGAATTAATCAATCATTTGTGGAGTTGTTATTTTACATCTATCTCTTAATGTCACCAACATATGCATATGAGGTAATCCACGTTTTTGAAATTCAATAACGTATACGTAAGCTAACACTTCACCAAAGTGATGTTCTTTTACTATCATATCAATTCATGCATTTTTTTTAATATTAAACACACGCGTTACAATATCAGGCCTATCTGCAGCAGTTTGTTTTGGAAATAAATTTTCTTTAATTTCAAGCCAATTAGGATTGCATGTCATAGTAATGAATATATCTGGTTTGCCAAATCTACGTACTATTGCCATTGAGTCTTGATAGTGTTGTAACATGTTTCGAGGGGATCCACAAAATGATGGAGGAAGAATTACCATTTTTCCGATTTTATTATCGTTATTCATATTGCTACCATTGTTCGTTTTTTTTCTTAAATAATCTATTAGTCCTTGATAGCATTCAGCACGTAATTTCTTTTGATTGTATCTACAATAGTTCAATCGATCTTTTTCAATTTTTACATAACTATCAACAACCCATTGTTGAAACAATCTACGACCCATTAGAAAAGCATTAAATTCATCACGAATTGCTATTCTGTATTTGTGATAATCGTTTCGTGTCACTTT